CCTAATTCAGGTTAATTAATTCCTTAATTTTTTTTTCTTTTTTCCTAACAGATAGGCAAAAACTCCTATCATCAATATTATTATTGTTCCTCCCAAAATATAAGGTAAGTAATTGTTGGGTTGGTTGATGGTAATTGTTCTTGCTTTTTCTCAGCAATTATTTGTTTGAGTTCAGACTGGGATAAAGAGGTTTTATTATTGCTTTTTAAATAATTAAATATTTGTTGTAATTCAGCATTATTATTATTATTATTATTATTATTATTATTATTATTATTATTATTATGATATTCAACTACTAGTTTATTATCACCATCAAGAGTAACATTTTTTATATCATGTTGAATAAAAAACTGTTCTAGTTGTTCTAAATCAGAAAGAGAAAATGCCTTTTGCTCTTCTTCATTAAACTCATAAACATCCTCATCCTCAGAAGGGGGAGTAGTAGGGGGAGTCTCCTTTCCTTCTTCATCACCCAAGTGGTAGCCTTCATCTTCTGGAGAGGAGTTTTGTTCCTCGAATTTTTTTCTTTTTTGTTCTTGATTAGCTCAATAATCAATTTCACTTTTTAAAAGAGTTTCATATTGAGTAATATCTCACACTTCCTTATTATCAAAACCTTTTTCCTAGTTTAAGTCCAAAATATCTTCTATATAAAGACATATTAGTTATACCTTTAGAGTTTCAGTAGTTTTTGATTTCTGCAATGATTGTTTGGATTTGTTCCTGTCTCTTTTTTCTTCTTCTTGGTATACCTTCTTGAATAGATTATTTTCTTTATTTTTCCTTTCATCATCTTGGGAATAATAACCCTCATCTTCTTCTGAAGAAGCAAATTTCCTCCTAACTTTTTCTTTAAACAATTGTTTTATTAACTCTTTGTCTACTTCTTTCAAATCTTTTTTGGTTATTTTTAGTAAGTCATTTAAGGAATAATTATCAAGAATTTGCTCAAGTTGCAAAGAGCAAGAACATCAATAATTTCATTGTTATTAAGTACTAATTCAAGTTTAGGAAACTTTTCTCAATCAATAATTGTCTTCAGATGTTCTCTAATAAACTCATCAGTAGGAATGAAAAAAAAAAGTTTTTCAATAGATTTTCCAGAGTTACCAAAATAACATTCTGGATAATAAAAATCTCTGCTTTCAATATCTGCATTTTTATCAATAAACTGTTTAGAACAGTGTTGGAATTGGACAAGGTCCAATTGGGTATAGTCCAAATGGACATTAATCGCCAGTTTCACAAAAAAAATTTTTAAAAGTTTAATTTTTTTAAATGCCACCCATAAAACATTCTCTCACTGAATATATCACAGTATTAAATGAAAAAGCCAATAAATCTAATCATTATGCACTTTGTTGTTTTTGTAAAACTAAATTAACAAATACTAAAAAATTGGTAACTTCTCATTTAAAAAATTGTACAATCTTCAAGGAACAATATACTGAACATAAACAAGAGAAAATTCTTTTTCCTGGAAATGAAAATAATCAATATGATGGTAGTAATATTTTAGTAACTTTGAGATAAATATAATTATTAAGAAAGATAAAACTTACAATTTTATATTTTGGGGTCCTGAATTTGATTCTTCATCTTCAATATGCACTAATGAATCTTCAATTTTATCAAGTTCATTATCAACCTTGTCTGTAGAAAAATCAGGTAATAAAAAAAGAAAAATAAGTGATTATTTTGCTCACTCTATTCCTCTTTCTAAACAAGATAAAGAACATTGGGAGAAACTTGTATTGAATTCTACCATAGATAATGGTTGATCATTCAGATGGGTTGACAAAAAATCAAGTCAAATATTATTTAATTTTGCAAATCCAGGATTGAAATTACCAAGCCATAAAGTATTAGCTGGTCATATTTTAACTAGTAATTCTGATAAAATCAGGAATAGTTTAATTGATATTGCAAAGAAGGATTTTTTTGTGTTACAATAGGCTTTGATGGGTGGAAAAACATTAAAAAGCAGGAGATTTTAGGTTCAGTTTTAATTACTTCACATGGACAAGTTTTAATTTGGGGAGGGAAGATGTGAATAGAAATCATTTGCAATGGCAAAATATAAAAGAATTATCATTGAATTTTTTGGACAGGTTAGATGAGCTAAATATCAAATATAATGCTATGATTACTGATTCAGCATCACAAAATCAAGCAGCAAGGTATTTTTTTAAAATAAATTTTTATTCAATTATTTGTAAGTTTAACTTTTATATTTATAGAAAACAGCTGTCACCAGAATGACATGGTGTTTTTTTTGGTCCTTGTTTTGCACATCAAACCAATTTAATTGTTGGAGAGATATTTAAAGAATCATCTAGTTTAGTTGTTTCATCTGAAAAGGCAATTCAAATCATTTCTTTCTTAAACAGATCAGTTTACTTTATGGAAAAGTTACATGATGAACAAAAGTTTAAATATAACAAATATTTTGCAGTTCTCCTTCCATGTGCTACTTGCTGGAATTCTCATTATCACTGCTACTCCAGTTTGTTGAGAACCAAGTTTGCTTTAAAGGTATTTAAAAAATATCATTAAAGGTTTTATTCAATAAGAATTAATTCTTATATTTGTTTAGATGCTTGTTTCAAAATATGCTCCTAGAGAATTTGAAGCAGATGATAATTATACAGGAAATGATGAGAATGATAGAGAAATGCCACTTGGAATCTGTAGAATAATTGCTAATGAAGATTGGTGGAAGGATATTAAAAAATTGGAAAAGCTTTTGCTTCCATTTTGTGGTGCACTCAACAAATTACAAACAGATAATGCTTGTCTTCATGATGTACTACATTGTTTTGCTTATTTTTACAAGATGTGGAAGGAGTACCCTGACCAAAATTTAAGTGCAAGGATGATTACTTGTCTAGAAAAATGTTGGCAAATATGGGAGCAACCATCATTATTATTATCCTTCATTCTTCATCCTGAATATCATGACAAAATTTTCCTTCAAGATAATACATCTATTTCTATTGCAAAACTCAGTGAATGGATGATATATTATTTTTGTGTATGGTTTAAAAAAGTTCCTGATATTTTGTTAGGTGAATTACAAAATTATCATAGACAAAATTTTCTTTTTCACAATATTTCATTAAAATAATTTAATGATGGTGTACTTGGCTTTTGGGATTTTGTTTCAGCTTATACACCAGATTTGAGTATTTTTTCTATCAATATGCATAAATACTGTTTCTGTGGAAAGGCTTTTTTCTGCAATGGATTTTTTCCACACAAAAAAAAGAAACCAATTGGATGTATGTGAATTTTATATTTTTTATATATATTTTTTGACTATAATTATTGAATCATTTAGTTTTTTTATTATAGTTTGAAAAGGTCTTTGCTATGAGTCAAATGAAAGGAGAGTTTCAGAGATTAGAACAATTAGAAAATATTCAAAATTCAAACAAGAAATTTAAAACTAGTAGTGTTGCAATTCCAATTATTAACAAACTGATGAATTGTTTATGGTTTCTGATGATGATGATGATAGAAATGATGATTTTTTAATAATGATTTAGAATATTCCGAACATGATATTCAATCACCTCATGAGTGAAGAAATTTAATCAATGAATGGATTGAAATGGTAGAAGAAGAAGAGGAGGAGGGGGAGGAAACAGAAGATGATAGTTATAATGATGAATTAGGATCACTTATTGGTCAAACAATAAAATTGTGAAAACAAGACATCCACTTCTTAATAAAAAAGCCAAGTGGAAGTTGAATGATATTTTTGATTTGGAAAAAATTGAGCCTCCTATATATTTAACTTCATTAAGTGGTATGTTTTTTTAATTTTATTTTGCTTATACTTGAATTGATTGATTCACAATGTATATTAATTTAACTCCTTTTACAGGTCATACAGATTAATTGGTCTTAGATTTTTTATTTTAAATATGTGTTGTGTGTATTTTTGAATGCACCAGTTAATATTTTGAGTTAAAATTAATATATTAATATAATATTATTAAAAAATTTACAATTGATGCAAATAAATATAAAAAATAACACTTTATTATTATGTCTAGGACATTTGGCTAAAATTATCTGGACATTGTGGACATTGTCCATATGGAGGTCCAAATGTCCAATTGGACAAAATTTCCAACACTGGCTATCAACCATAGTATTTGAAAAATTGTTCACTTCTTGAATTTTCGAACTTTTTGTCCATCTCAAATCTGAAAAGTCAATGTTCAAGGACATTAAAGGATAAGAAAACTTGTTTATTGACTTCGATTTTAAGTTTTTATTGCCACATCAAAGACATCTTTATTATCCAGCTTTAATGAAAAGGATGTCTGTTTAGATGAGAAACAAAAAAAAAATAGTTAAAATATTTAAATGAATTATGACCTATGTGATACACAATTTTTCATTGTTAAAGAAAATATGTAATTATTGTATTTACCATAGGTTTCTCTTCTTTTATCCTTTTAAGCAACATGCGTCTCTTTTCAAGATATTCCAAATCACCATATTTTTCCTCTTCCTCCTCTGCCACCAACACATCATAGCTACTATTATCATCTTTGTCAGATTCACTGACATCTTTGTTATTTTCATCATCATCACCACCATCATTTTTTAAATAAACTAGAGTAACAATGAGTGGCAGGCAATAACCACCACCATCATCCTTAAAACACTTAACCAACCAACACATTTCCATGATTATTTTCTTTACTTCTTTTTTTGTCAGTGACAGCAGACATTTTTTATTTTTATTTTTGAAAGAATTGTTGATTTGATCAACATGTACACATTAATTATTTATCCTATTGGTTTTTTTTTGGTAGGACCAGACTAATGGTTACTAATATGACAACTTTTCAAGTATGCAGTTGTCAGAAAATCTGTAATATGTAAATGTATCTGTAATTCTGCAATTCTG